TGAAGCTGCTGGTAGACATCGCGGTTGGAATTATCAAAGGTTTTTGACACCTGAGAGACACCGTAGCAACTCCTTTGCATTTGGAAGCGGGGGGGTGGGGGTGGGGGGAGGACCAGGGAGGATGATTCAACCACTCAACCACTAGATATGCTGAAAACAACAAATCCTACGCTGTGCCTTTAAATAGATTTGGCATTTTTAAGATCATCCTTCAGAACCATTCCTTAATCCTATACTTTGGATTAAATTACATCTTTCTTTCAAACAAGTATGAGAATATGGCTTCACAAACATTTCCATCCCCTCGAGATAATAACAACTGTCTTTCTTAACAAAGTTTACCTGAATGTTGGAAGGCAATTTGTTTCTGTGAGCCTTGTACATAAAGAGGAAAATATTGTCAATCAAATCACAGAATTTCAAAACTTTCAGTTTACAAAATAAGGTATTAGATGGATGATTGTAATCTTTTCTCGTGGTAATTCTTACAGCTCTTTTTTGTAAAACAAAAATCGGATTTGTAATTGTTTTGCAAGCTTTACCCCAGATTTCAATACAGTAAATTAAATGTGTGTGTGTGTTTTCTCTTGATAAGTAATTAAAAAAAGGTAAAAAGAATTAAGGTTGTGCTGAAATAAAATGTGCAGATTTGTTGGTGCCTTTAAATCTAACATTATAGTCGTGTATAAAAACTTGTTGCGGTAAGACTTGGATTGGCAGACTGTGTGTGTCTGAGGGGAACAAGCAAACATGACCCCTACAAGAGGGGAGCTATTGTAGGACCCTGACCCTCAGCTCCAGTTCTCTGAGCACCTCAGACAGCTGCAGGCTGACATCACAGATGTTTTAACAGTTTCTTCTCAAAGATCAGTGATGAGGAGCTGGATCACTGCTGTGATTTGATGTTTATAATGAATGCAAAGCATTCACTTTTACTTGCCTGCCTGGATTCATTGTTTGAAAAACTATATTACAGCGCCATCTAGTGGCAGTGGTAATAATGCACAATATAATGAAAATGTGTTTTTGTTTTACAGCAAAAGGAAGAATAAAACACCGTACAAGGTACACTTTGACATCTGACGTCTATATAAACATTTTAGACTTTTAAAAAACGAATTCTGCTTGAATTCATGTTTATTTGATTCAGGGACGCGAGTCGGTCTCAGCCCTGACCAGTCTGATGCAGGAGCCCGGATCTCCAGAGGTGAGGAAACCAGGAGCAGAGGACAGGAAGGAGTATGCTCTGCTCACCAGTTACTCCATAATCATAGACGTGAAGAGTGCAGTGTGAGCTTTAAAAATCAAATTTAGCTTTAACTGCAGTTTTACAGCTTCCTGTTTGAAATCTGTGAATTTTTTGTTCATGTAGCATCTGAAATGAAGCTGAATATGTAGAGCTTTGATCGGCATTAAGACTTGGAAAAGCATAAATGTTGCACTTTTTTTTTACTTGAATCTTGATGTATACACACTGTATTACTTTTTTACATTTTAATAAAGCCATTCAATTTTCTTTTTTTTTTGCCATGTTGTTTTTTTTTTCAAACATAACCATATTTCATGACATAAACCACCCTTTAGTTATTTTCACTCAGCTAAAAAAGTGAAAAACATGGAGGTATAAAACTTCCAAACAAGGAGCAGACTGAACTATTCACTGGTTTAAAATTTGAACCCAAGATACTAAAAAAAAAAACACCAGATTTGCTTAAAGTTTATAGACTTTTATCTGACAACAAACACAGTATTTAATTACTTTTCTTACAACTTAAAACACTGAACTCAACAGCTGATGTCCAACCACAACAAAGAAATTAATCAGCAACATAAACAAAACCACTAAAAGATTGATGCAGAATAATCCAGTTTGTTTTATAAATGTCTCAAAGAAATCAAATTAATTTACAGAGGCAATGCAAAAAGGTTTATTTTGAATAGTTGAGTAAGTAAATAAAAATGGGATAAAGTTAATTCTTAAAACTTTGCAACATTTGAATCAAAATGGCTGGATCCCATCATTTTTTAAAATAATTAAAAACAGTAAATCTATGTAATGATTTGGATTTACAGTAATTATAAAAAATAACAGCTTGTTTGTGATGTTTATTAAAACCTGACACCTACACTAACATAACAGAAGCTTTAACAAAAGGAAAACAACAAAATGCATCATTAGTTCAAAATTCAACATTTAAATTCTCCACTTTAAATCTTAAATTGAGTCCTCTGGATTAGTGGAAAACACAATTTTTAGGTTGCTTTAACTCGGTCTTCCACTGACATCATCTCTTCTTGTACACACAGGGCTTCAGCTGCAGTCCAATTTTCTTTGCGTTTTTTGAAGCATTTCCTGTCTTCACAAAGTCAAAGGAGTAGAAGTGACTGTTTTTTGTGTCCTAAAGGGAAAAACATTTAAAAAATAAATAAATTCTCAAATGGTAATTTGAATGAGCCATCAGCCATATGCTCAAATCTATTAGCAGTTTATCTGCATACAGTATATTTAATTGTCTGTTTGTTGCCAACGATTTACTGAACGTTCTGTTCAACCTGCGGTTTCCTGCCCGCTGCACCGCAAGCTGTAAATTATAGAACAAGCTGCTGGCAGTCACCAAATCACAGAGTGTGCCAGGCGACGTCTCAAAAGGAGAAATAAATAATGAAGCAAAAAGCATTTGTTTTGTATTCATTGTATCTGATTTAAAAGTGCACCAAGTATGTTATTTTTATTAACTTTTGAGGTTATTGAAAAACAGCTTTGACAACATATAATTGAATTAAATGAAAAAAATAATGACTCAGTCCCACATGTTGTCATGTTTGTTGCCTCACCTTGGACGTCATTTTAAATCCCAGTCGCGCCAGTGCTGTGATGAAGCTGTGCTCGCTGTCAAATCGACTCGCCACTTCTGCGATTTTAAGGATTCCCCTGCAAGAACCGGACAAAAACAACCAAAGACATTAGTTACAGCAGGTAAAATAAGTAATGAACACGTCAACATTTTTCTCAGTAAATATATTACTAGAGGTGCTAATGACATGAAATTTTCACCAGAT